GTCTAAAACAGTCTGAACCAGGAAACACAGATATGGGATCAGATGCTCAAACTTCATGCATCACACATAATCAGTTGTTGAGTTCCCTTTTAATCTGAGGTATTGCATCTCATATCCGTTGAGAGCTTACTGAAGGATGACTTGTGAGATGTCAATGCAATATGCAAGCACTGGTTGAGATTGTGAATCGGTGAGTCTGTTGCGCTTTTTGTCCTTAATTGGATTCATCACTGAAAACCCTGACTCGCATATGTAGGTGGATCTGAACATTGTCAACATGTATATAGCGAGTCGTTTTGAGTTTGGATACCGATGAACTGAGTGTGCCCAAAACTCACACAGTCTCTCCTCTCTGAACTTGGCCCTCAGGATATCATTGGCCTGCATCTGACCCAGTTCAGCTGGAAAGTGCCCTCGTTGATTTTGGCCACAGCATTTTTTGCCTCTGTTGGACAGCTCCCCGTGGCAGCGACGGCAAACGGGTTGCGCACAAACATCAGCAATTGCTGTGGGATTTTGAAGTTGTGAAACTGCGATCTGAAGTTTTCTGACAGATTTTTCAGCAATGCTACCATATGTGACAGCACAATCCCATTTGTAGGAACATCATGCAGGGTAGGGAAGTGGAGTTGCTTTCCCTCTATGTCCGCCACGAAAACGCCCAAGGTTGTCTGAAAAGCATTCTCTTTTTCAAAAAGCTCTCCCACATTTACATCCCCACCTTGGAGCTGCAGGTTAAGTTGGTTCAAGTGGCGAGTGATATCACACAGAAATGCAACCACAGCCACAGATTCCTGGTCTTGCATAAACTGAGACAACTCCTCTGCTTTCTTTGTTTTTTGACTGGAAAGAAACTTGGCAATTTCTTTGCGCAGTGCAAAGAAGCACTGCAGGACTTGCCCCCTGCTCAGCCGTCTGACATCATTGTGCTGCAATCGGTCTGAATATTGTGCGTCTTGCTCCTGTAGCATTAATTTGAAAAGCCGGTGCTGCAAGCTTGAAGTTGAGCGAATGTGATTTACAATTTTGATCATGGTGTCCATCGCTCCTTTCATTTCACCATTGGTGCACAACACCGTCTGGTGAATGATGCAGTGTAGTGAGTTGACTGTGGGGTGGTCTGATTTGAGACGTGATGCTAAGCCCCTCTCTCGCCCGATCATAGATGGCCTGCTGTCAGTCACAAGGAGGTTGATTTTATTCAGCTCCAGAGAATGTATCTCAAAAAAACTTTTGATTGAAGTGTAGATGACCTCACCTGTCGTGTTGCTCTTGAGGGGCAAAAGGCAAAGCAGCTCCTTTTTGAAAAGCTCCCCATTGAAATATCTAACAAAAACAGCCAGCTGTGCAGTATCTGTTGCATCTGTGTACACGTCTACAGCTACTGAAAATAATCCACACACTTCAGTTCGTTAAGTAAAGTGGAAAAACTGTCCTCATATAAAGTTTCCAGTTTCCATGCCGCAGTTGAATCTGAAAGCTGAACCTGCTTCACACAGCTAATGATTTCATCTTTGTGTCTGTCACCGGCAAACAACTCCTCCATGATTCCCAAAGTGCACACTTTCACAAGCTCAGCGTCCACAAATGGCTTGCACTTTTTCGCCAGATCCCAGGTTACACAAAACGAGGCAGCTTTTTCAACAGAAGTAGTTGTAGTCATCAAGATTGTTGAGGCGGTTGAATAAGACGACTTTAAAACGACAATTTTGTCTTTCCGTACAGTGCTTCCAACAGGAGAAAGCTGCACTGAAGCTAGCATGCTTTGTGTCATAATGCCATTTAATAGTAGCAACTTTGCATACAGCAACTGTCATTTGACAAATTAAACACAACGGTTTGGCATTGGTATGCGATGGCAATATGAAGGCAAACTCATTTGTCCATTTGTTATTCAACTGCCTGTTTTCAACATCAACTTTTCTTCGCTTACTAACTTCACTCATTTTTTTGCCGGAGCCAAGAGCAGGCAGGCTCGACTTTTACTGTGCAGGCCAGTAGGGATTTTTGAACCGCGCAAACTGTTCACCGCCTTCATGGCCCCAAATATAAAGGACCGTCTGAAAACTAATGAAGAGGAGGGACTCCTTTTACATCCAGTTCCTCATGTGAAAGCTTGGAGAAAATATTCAATATTTACACCATGATCAAAGGAAAACCTTGTGAGAAATATTTTAATATGGAACAATTATAGGAATGATCGGGGAGGCTGGATTTGGCCCGCGGGCTGTGAGATGAGTATGGCTGCCGCATGCCTTAAGGATTTTCACCATCATGCCTCTGTGGATCGATTCAAATGCCTTTTTGAAGTCAATAAAGCATAGAACTGCAATTAGGTTGTCCTTCCTCACCTCCTCAATCATTCTCCTAAGTGCCAAGCTCTGGGCTGTGGTAGTTCTCTCCTCTTGAAAGCTGTTCTGGTTCTCCCTCAGATGAGGGTCGATGGCTTGCCGTACCCTGTTTAATATCATGCGGTTGAAGACTTTGGCAAGTTTTGGCGTAGCCTAGTTCTGCCGTCTGTCAAAAATCATTTTTAAAAAATCTGAGTCAGTCGGCTATATTAGAAATCCATTAGGCACAGGTGGTGACTTTTTTCACTAGCATGGCATGTCCTTTTGATAATGATACTGTGGATGAAGGTGCAGCATTACTGCGCCAAGAATTAAATATTCATCGGGAGATGGTTGTCAAACCACACATAGATGTTCTAGCATTTCAAGACAATTATCTTTTTAAGCGGTCCCGTTTCACGTCACAGTCCATCATCTACATACATAACCTAATCCATCCTTACATGTGCAACAATATCAACCATTGTCATGTTCTCACATCCCAACAGATATTGTGTCTTACGCTGCGTTTCTTTGCAAATGGAAGTTTTCTGTACAATGTCAGAGATGCAGAGCACTTGAGTAAGGCAACTGTATGCAGGGTGGTCAGAAAAGTGTGCCACGCCCTGAAACGGCTTTTACCCATCTTTGTCGTTTTCACTGGACATAAACCTGTCAGAGCCATCATGGAGGAGTTCCACGGGATTGCAGGTGAATGATGTAGAGATCTGTTAAATTAATTTTAAATTATATTCTGTTAATGACATTGTGCTCAACCTCAGACTTAAACAATGTTTTTCTATTTCATCTTAAGCTGCTGCCAAGTGCATGTCTCCCCTGCCAGATTGCACCTAAATGAAATAAGTTAGTAGGCTAACATTCAAGCAATGTTCTCCACGCCGTCTCCCTCTGTTTTGCAGCTACAGCGGTGTTGCACTTCTTTTTAAAAACGTGCTCAACCTCGCCGTATGAGCGCATTGACATTTCCAATTCTGATGTGGTGAAAAAACGCAGCCCTGAGTAGATCAACTCAGAGTTCAGGATTAGACTCAGAGTTTGTTGAACCTGCTTTGTGAAATGGACCCCTGATGTGTCTCCATTATTATTGTTTTTATGTTTTAACATTTTTAGTTTTTTTTTCCACTGTTGGCTAATTTTTCACTGCAACAAAAGTCCTGCACCTCTATGAAAAAAACACAACTGTAACTAGAAGGGAAAAGAACTCAGAAACGTCTTTTGTGCTGTAGGACATCAGATATAATACCATAAAGCATGAAAAAGAAACATTTCTTTCATTATTTATTTTACAAAACATCCAGTTGTCCAAGATTACTCCCAGTGTCCACAGGATTTTAAGTAAAACCTATAAAATTCTGCTGAAATATTTCATTTTATGCTAAGAGAGTGATATTTTGACAAAAGTGTCTTAAGTTATCAAAGTGTGACTGGGTATTTGGGAACAAATATTCCTTCATCCTTATATGTGTATTTTTGTTTGTTTGTTTGTTTATTTATTTAACAATAATTTATTGACATATTATTTGGATTTTTTTTTTTTTTTTTTTTTTTTAAGCCTCGGTGGGTGAGGAATTATATATGGTAACTTTGATTTGCAGCCTAAAAAAGAAAAAAATGTCCTCTTGTATTCACCAATACCACTCCAGGGTTGAAATGTTTAATTTCCAAGTATTTTGATGAGTAGGTTAACTGACCAAAAATGTGGAATTAAATGTGGAGGCGTTCTACACAATAATGCTTCAGCTGTAGATATAGTTAGAAAAGAAATTGTCTGCATGCTTTTCTGATGCTTAAAATGAGAATTCCTCCTAGTTGTCCCTCTGACTGGAGTGACTAAAAATTATTTCTGTTCTTAGGTAATCTGCAGGTTATTTACTTGATTCACTTGTGAATTCTTTAGGTCTATATGATGTAAAAAAAAATTTTTTTTAAGTTTTGTCCCAGAAACAATACAGTGGGAATCATTTCACAATGTTAATCGAATATCAAAAATAGTTGCATTTTCTATTGATCGGCTTGTTGCAGCTCTGCTTCTCATCACTGAACTTCTGATTTATTCAGTTTTTTTATGACAAATGTATTTGAAGCTACACACAGACATAAACCATTTTTCTCATATCTGTGTGGTTTTATTTGATTAAAAGTTTCTTCTTCTGCTGCTGATGAAGCTTCAGCTTCACCTCCATCCTCTTGAGATGGTCTGTAGTTGAGCGGCTGCCTGGCATCACACTCTGTTGCCTGGCACCCGTCGTCCCCTCAGAGGTCGTTCCTGTGGAAACACTCTCCGGGGGCCAACGCGATTGGCCATCCCAGGACTTTGTTTACCGTGCTGTTGGGAAGCCTCAGTGACAGCGGCGCTGCCGTGCTTGTCCTGCCGCCAGCTGGAGGGTCGAGGTGGGAGGACGATACTCTTGGGATCCCCCAATATCTGGCTCTGGGGTTGCTTTTTGTAGGCATTACTGCTCTCCTGCTTTACTGTTGACGGCAGGCGACTGCGGCAACGAGCTCGTGGTGAAGCTTGCCTCGTTGTCATGGCATCAGAAGACGCCTGCTGTGCTCAGCAGCACCACCTCGCAGCCGCTGAATGACTGCAGCTTTAACCAACTCTGCCTTTCACTCATTCACATTGCAGTTTCCCTTTCTGTCTTCCAGATCTCGTGGGCTTCCCAAGCTGAAGGAGTCGAGCTCCCATGAGTCTTTGCTGAGTCCAGGCAGCGCAGTGGAGGCTCTGGACCTGAGCATGGAGGAGGACGTGTTTATCAAACCTCTACACAGCAGCATCCTGGGACAGGAGTTCTGCTTTGAGGTGAAACACCAACCTAAACACACTTTCACTGCATTCTGAAGCTACACAGGAACCTTCATCAGACACTTTAACACCGTCAGAATAAACGCTTCATAAAATGTTACAACACTTTTATTCTATAACAAGTAAAAATCTTGCATTTAAAACATACTTAAGAAAGCAGGCAGAAATATTATCAACAAAATATTACTAATCCTCTGAACCCTGATGAATCGCCACCTTATCGCAGTGGAGGGGTTTGAGTGTCCCTGTGATCCTGGGAGCTATGTTGTCCAGGGCATTCGCCCCTGGTAGGGTCTCTCAAGGCAAATTGATTCTGGGGGAGGGACCAGAAAAGAGCGATTCAAAGACCTCGATGACAACTAAAAACAGGAAAGCCGCCACCTCACCCAGATTAGGGAGACCGGGGCACCCTCCTGGAGCCAGGCCTGGGGTGGCCCACCACCCTCAGGGCAAAAGATCAGAGCCGAATGCTATGCTCACCGGGTGGTAGGCAGGAGCGGGCGTCCTGGCGTACCGCCCCCTGGTGGCATAGACTAGCTCTGAGGACGTGGAACGTCACCTCACTGGCAGGGAAGGAGCCTGAGCTGGTGTGGGAGGTGGAGCGTTCCCAGCTAGATATAGTCGGGCTCACCTCCACGCACAGCAAAGGCTCCAGAACCAAACTCCTGGAGAGGAGCTGGACTCTCTTCATTTCCAGAGTTGCCCACGGTGAGAGGCACCAGGCGGGTGTGTGGATACTCACGAGCCCCAGGCTGAGCACCACCTTGTTGAAGTTCTCCCCGGAGATCAAGAGGTCGCCTCTCTGCGACTGCGTGTTGCAGAGGGGAAAACTCTGACTGTTGTTTACGCTTATGCACCAAACAGCAGTTCAGAGTATCCAGCCTTTTTGGAGTCTCTCGGTGGTGTCCTGGAAGGGGTGCTGCCTGGGGACTCTATAGTTGTCCTGGGGGACTTCAGTGTTCACGTGGGCAATGACGGTGAAACCTGAAGGGGCGTGCTTAGGAGGAACGGCCTGCCTGATCTGAACCCAAGCGGTGTTTTCTTTTTGGACTTCTGTGCTAGCCATGGATTGGCGATAACAAACACCATGTTCAAACACAAGGTTGCTCATAAGTGCACCTGGTACCAGAGTACCTTAGGCCAATGGTCGATGATAGATTTCGTAGTCATATCATCAGATCTGTGGCCATGTGTTTTGGACAATCAGATGAAGAGAGGAGCAGAGCTGATCATCAACTGGTGGTGAGTTGGATCCGATGGCAGGGAAGGCTGCCAGACAGACCTGGTAAACCCAAATGTGTAGTGAGGGTGAACTGGGAACATCTGGTGGAGGCCCCTGTCTCTGAGGTTTTCAAATCCCACCTCTGGAAGAGTCTCTCCTGCATCCTGGGGGAGGTTGGAGACATGGAGTCAGAGTGGACCATGTTCAAAGTTTAAGTATCTCTGGATCTTGTTCACGAGTGATGGGAAAATGGAGCATGAGGTGGACAGGTGGCTCGGTGCGGTGTCAGCAGTATTGTGGGTGCTGTACCAGACCGTCGTGATGAAGAGAGAGCTGAGCCTCAAGGCGAAGCTCTCGATTTACCAGTCCATCTACATTCCAACCCTCACCTATGGTCACAAGCTTTGGGTTGTGACCGAAAGAACGAGATCGCGGATACAAGCTTCCTCTGCAGAGTGGCTGGGCTCAGCCTTAGAGATCGGGTGAGGAGCTCGGACATCCGGAGGGAGCTCGGAGTAGAGCCGCTGCTCTTGCGCATCAAAAGGAGCCAGTTGAGGTAGCATGGACATCTGATTCAGATGCCTCCGGAGAGGCTTCCTCTGGAGGTCTTCCGAACATGTCCACCTGGGAGGGGACCCCGGGGCAGACCCAGAACCTGCTAGAGGGACTGTATCTCTCAGCTGGCCTGGGAGTGCCTCGGCGACCCGACCCCAGATAGGCAGAAGAAAATGGATGGATGGATGGATGGAAGGATGAACCCTGACAGTTTCTTAAACTTTTTCCCCCTGTCACATTTTTATTCACTGTAATCTTTTTTTTTTTACTGCAATATAAAGTCAGGGGTACAAAGAATTACATTACTTAAGAAAAATGTTTCCTTCAACTGAGATTTTACCAAGTATGACATGAGCGAGTTTAGTGCAGTGGTTCCCTGCTTACAGGTTTGAGTCCCTCCAAAGTGTCACCATGTGGATCTGTGAGGTCATTAAATGATTAACGGTAAACAAAGGAAAATCTTTTCCTGTAATATTCAACTTTTTTTGTATAATTAAGTCACTTTGTACTGGAACTGATGCTGCTTTTTGAAAGTAAATAATGAAAGTAAACCTCTGATTCAATGTTAAAAACAACAATCTGACAGGTAACTTGTGACAACATCTATCAGACAAAAACTACAACTTTATTTGTCCCTCAAGGAGCAATTTGTTATAAGATATAACATTTAAAAAGTACATATGTGAAACAACAATGAATACGGGTAAAATGAGATGACTGTTTAATACTTTTACAGTTTTTTGAGCTGTTTGGTACAAGAAAACAATTGATTAAAAACAAAGCTTATAAAGCAGTCTACATCATTTGAAATGCCTTGCATATCCAGAACTTTACCAACTTGTGACTGTTGGTTCGAAAAATAAGAATATCCATCCATTATCTATACACCGCTTAATCCTCACGAGGGTCGCGGGGGGGCTGGAGCCTATCCCAGCCGACTGAGGGCGGAGGCAGGGGACACCCTGGACAGGTCGCCAGTCCATCGCAGGGCCACACTTAGAGACAGACAACCAAGCACACTCACATTCACACCTACGGACAATTAAGAATCACCAATTAACCTCAACATATTTTTTGGACTGTGTGGGAGGAAGCTGGAGAACCCGGAGAGAACCCACGCTGCACGGGGAGAACATACAAACTCCTCGCAGAAAGATTCCGGTGCCCCCACCGGGATGCGAACCAGCAACCTTCTTGCTGCAAGCCAACAAAATAAGAATATTTGCCTCTGAAATATAGAACAGTAGAAGTGCTCCTGGTCATTTCAGTACAGCAGTCAGTCAGATATCGTTGTGTCCTCACCCCCTGGCCTGTTCTCTCACCCCTCAGGTGACGTATTCAGGTGGTAGCAAGTGTTTCAGCTGCACTTCGGCCTCAGAAAGAGACAAGTGGATGGAAAACTTGAGGAGGACGATTCAGCCCAACAAGGTGAGAAACAACGAGACAAACTCCTTTTGTTTCCAGAGCAAACGTCCCATTCTGAAACCAGTGTGCATTTGTCTCGGATCCAATTTGTGACTCATATGTGTTTGTGTTTGCAGGACAACTGTCGGCGGGCCGAGAACCTGCTGCGACTATGGATCATCGAAGCCAAAGACCTGCCGCCCAAGAAGAAATATTTCTGCGAGCTGTGTCTGGACGACGTCCTGTATGCCCGAACCACTAGCAAGACCCGCCACGACAGCCTGTTCTGGGGCGAGTACTTCGACTTCTCCAGTCTACCTGCTGTCCACAGCATCACCGTGCACATCTATCGCGACGTGGACAAGAAGAAGAAGAAGGACAAGAACAACTACGTGGGCCTGGTCAACATCCCAGTGTCGGGTGTGACGGGCCGGCAGTTCGTGGAAAAGTGGTACCCAGTCAGCACACCTACCACCAGCAAGTTGAAAGGAGGCGGGCCGTCGATCCGCATCAAATCACGCTTCCAGACCATTGCCATCCTGCCCATGGAACAGTACAAGGAGTTCGCCGAGTTCGTCACCAACAACTACACCATGCTGTGCTCAGTGCTGGAGCCCGTAATCAGCGTGAAGAACAAGGAAGAGATGGCCTGTGCGCTGGTCCACATCCTGCAGAGCACCGGCAGAGCAAAGGTCAGTGTCCGCCACAGGAAGAGGTACTTAGCTTAGCATTAGGAATGTCCAGATCAAGTGTTTTTTCGATGTGAGTCATTGATATTTAGTATCTGCTGATAACTGCTACTTTTTTCCAAGATAAAAACACTTCAAGTACTGTAGATTTACTGCAGTACCTGGTTGTTCCACCAGGTGTTGGCAAGTAGCATTGTAGACCTTTAGCTGGTAGAGGAGCATTGTCATAAAGACTCCTACGAAGCTTAATTCAAGTCAATTCAATTTTATTTGTATAGCACAGTTTATAGCATATTATCACACAGCGCTTAACAATGTAAGATATAGACCTTACAAATTTAAACAGAGAAACCAACAATCCAAAGTTGCCTCTGGACTTCCTTTGAGCAAGCGGTTGGCAATGGTGGGAAGGAACCAAAACCCTCGTCCCCTGGGTCCCAGGGGACCCAGGGGACGAGGGTTGGAGAGCAGTTGGAGAGCAGTAATAGAGCAGAACAATAGATAAGTATTTTGGAGATCGGTGAGGCCAGCAGCCGGAGGTCAAGGACGTGAAGTTCTGGATCCAGAGACGTCCGCAGGGAGCACAGGACCTCGGAGGAAACACATTAGTTAGTGACATGTCATGGTGGTTATAACTATATGGAAGCAAGACAGAGGAGAGAAGCTCAGAACATCATTAGAATCCCCTGGCAGTCAAATGCTATGGCAGCATAACTCAGGGACAGTTCAGGTGATCCTGAGCAGCCCTAACTATAAGCTTTATCAAAGAGGAACGTTTTAAGCATAACCTTAAAAGTAGAGAGGGTGTCTGCCTCCTGAATCCAAACTGGGAGCTGATTCCATAAGACAGGAGCCTGATAGCTGAAGGCTCTGTCTCCCATTCTACTTCTGGAAACGCTAGAAACCACAAGTAGACCTGCAGTCTGAGAGCGAAGCGCTCTGTTAGGATGATACGGTACATGAAGGTTTTAAAGGTAAAATGGAGCTTGGTCATTGAGAGTTTTATATGTTAAAAGCTGCTTATATAGAATCTATTGTGCTGAGGAGGTCAGATTTATTTTTCTTACTTATTTATTTTAACAGATTATGGTGCAAAAACTACTCCCCTTGGAAAATTTTAAATGAGACATGTAGAATTAATTGATTTTAAGCTTACATCTGGTTATTTTTCCCAGCAAGTCACACATGACACATTCAAGGAGTGTTGTAAAGCTGAAAATCAGACAATTGTTTCTGCTTGTGTTTTTGTGGCTGATAAATAGTGTAATAATTAGTGATATTATCATGCCTTACAAACGTATTAGCAGGTTTTTATTGGTCACTCATTACCTCTTCTTCTTCTTCTTCTTCTTCTTCTTCTTCTTCTTCTTCTTCTTCTTGTTTTTATTAAGGACTTCCTGACAGACCTGGTGATGTCAGAGGTGGATCGATGTGCCGACCACGACGTCCTGATCTTCAGGGAGAACACGTTGGCCACCAAGGCCATCGAGGAGTATCTGAAGCTGGTGGGACAGAAATACCTGCACGACGCACTCGGTGAGCCTTATGCAACCTGTAAACACCTGTTCACACACATGCACACACACACCTGTACAAACACCTGTAAACACCTGTACACAAATCTGTAAACACACCTGTACACACACCTGTATATAAATCTGCACCTGTGGCTGTGTCCAACCTGTTGGCTCATATAAGCTCCATTTGCAATCAACACCTAAGTCACAAAATGTCATTTTTAATTTCATTATTATGAGACCTGAAATATAAATGTAGATTTATCAAATGTAAATCTGTTTGTTTGGTTTTTTTTGCCTGGTTTATCAAGAAAAAACAAGCTCCAAATCAAAAAGTTGAGGAGAAAAAGAGATTTCTGTCACTAACGTAATATTTAAGGAGCTGAATGTGTATTTTAAACAAATCATTTTAGTTATTGATCATATAAAACAGTCGTCTCAGCTGTGTTCACGCTCATCGGTGAGGGAAATATGCTGCCACTGTTAACAGTTTGTCAGCAGCTTTGTGTTGATCCTGAATTAGATTCCGTGTTTTAGTGTTTGTAAGCATTATTTCTCATGAACTGCTGACTCGAATGTTGGAGCACACGATGTCTGCTGCATCATGTTCATCATCATCCTCCTCTGAGGGATTCTGAACCATCTCAGAGTAAAGAGAAAGAGAAGAAGAATCTGAAAATAGGGGAGGTTGTGTGACAGAATAAGGCTACTCGAGTCCCGCTGAGACCTGCTGTCATTGCAAACTAATCAACATCAGCACACAAAGAAGCTTTTCATCGTTTCACAGCTATTATTGGCAACACAACGACAGCCAGAGCTCACAAACACACATATTTTCACCCTTGTTAATGTATTTATAAGTTCATATCTGGAAATAAATAAGTCGGCTAACATGAGGTCTCTGCACATTGTCTTGGTTAAGGTATTTTATTTTGACACTAGGCTGCTGTGCTGTTGTGTTTTCAGCTGACTGTTGTCAAGTATTCAGCGCTCGCAGTGATTCATGTCATTTCACTGTGTCAACCATTAAACTGTCATCAGCTGGCGTTTGGTTCAGACATGCAGAGCGGCTCGTTAAAGCCTAATGAAGCTGTAAAAACCCTGTTTCTCTGCTGACAGTTAAGTCTCAGCAGGAAAACCACAAACATCATTGATTCTAATGGATTAAAACAAAGAAAGGTTTGTTAGTGACCAAACAGCTGCAGACTCCAGGAAAACTTAATCTTCAGAACTTTACATGATACTAGTTTAGTAAAGTAAATCATAATTCAAGGTCCCAGATCCGGATGCTGATAGTTTTTGATTGCATCTCATATTCATCTCAGTATTTCTGTATGACGTTCTGTGTCTGCAGGTGAGTTCATCAAAGCGTTGTACGAGTCGGACGAGAACTGCGAGGTTGATCCAAGTCGATGCTCCAGCAGCGATCTGGCCGAACACCAGAGTAATCTGAAGATGTGCTGCGAGTTGGCTTTCTGCAAGATCATCAACTCCTACTGGTATGACTGCTAGTGTTGTAGTCAAGACCACCTAAACCGAGACCAAGACATGGCCGAGACCACAGTGTATCGAGACCGAGACAAGACCAAGACTTTGAGGGGTTGAGACAGAGTCAAGACCGAGACCAAGACAAAGCGAGACCGAGTCAAGACCGAGACCATACCAAATTTAACTTAACCATTTTATTCAACACTTAGTCAATGTAATTTTAAGGCAAGTGTAAGGTTGCCTGTAATACTCTTGTCTGCAACTGCAAACAAACATTTAATACGGAATGTATCAAACAAACAGTCAATACTACAATTTTATCTTAAATATTAAATGACCACACCAGTTAATTTTCTTTTCAGTTTTCAGTTTTGTGATGGTATTGTTGACACCATATCTAGAGCAGTGGGCAGCAGGAGGTCCTCAACTGTTGAATGTGGTTTCTTGCGATTCTGTTATAGAGCTCCAGACTAGCTTTTCTAGTGGTAGCATGGTGCTACCAGCTTTCTTCACTGGTCGCACAAGCTAATGATCTGGTCGCCCCACTCCCTTATTTTGGATCAGCATTGCCACAGCTATTAATGCACCATGCAGCTGATGAATAGTTGCCATTGCATCACTTAGTTATGATGCAATGTCACCAATCCTCTTCTAATACCAGTCATTAACTGGACACAGGCTAAACAATTGCTGAAAGTGCCCATAGGTAGATGGTACATTTTACCGATGTTCCCCAAACGCCTCACATGCTGCTCCGGTAGATGGTGCATTTTACTGATGTTCCCTGAACGCCTCAAATGCTGCTCCGGTAGATGCTACCAGGTGCGCTGTGTTTTCCTTTTGACGTCGATTTACAGATAAGTTGTTTATGATTAGAAAAGCCAAACTTTATTACAGCAGAGTTTGCTAACATCTTTCCCAGGGAGCAGAGTCCTTCTCTCGCATTTACTGTCGTGGAGTGCCTGTGAAGAGGGGCGGGGTGGGGTGACAGGCCACAGCCCGTGAAAAAAAAATCCAAATTAAAAATCTGTTAAACTATTGGTTACATTCGAAGAGGCATCCAATAACAACAAAGCTATTACTAAACAAATGAAACACTTCAGAGGCAGCTTAGTGCGGTCCTTGCAGCCGTGGTCTCGGCTGGTCTCACAGTAAAATCCCGAGTCCTCTGTGGCCGAGACCGAGACAATACCGAGTAAAAATGCGGTCGAGTCCAAGACAAGACCGAGATCTTCAAAAAGTGGTCTCGAGACTGGTCTCGAGTACTACAACACTAATGACTGCAAACCCAGAATTTACACCCAAAGAGAAGCATATGATGCTTTACAACATCTTTACAGTATTCAATACTTCCTCAAAGCATGGAATTAATAGGTATAAACTTCTATTTGCTTTTTCAATGTAAAATTCACATGAAAAATCCACCACAATGTTTCCAGCTGCTTTGCCTTCATCAGGGTGACATCTGAGGCTGTTTTAACTTTGTTTATATGCATCAGTTTATCAGTTGACCAACAAATATTCACAGAATCACAGATATTTAAAACTAAACATCATAATTCTTGTTAAAATTATTCTAAAAAAAATTAATTGCCAGCTGTACAATATATCAATGATTTTCTCCTAATATATCATTAATTTAAGCAAAATCGCTATAGGTTATTTTAAAACCAAGCGTATGTATATGTGTATCACCTAAAATATTGAAATTTAACAATATTCCCAAACTATTTGGAAAACCATCCACAGTATGTGTTTCAACATTTATTTAAAAATTGCTTAATCTCTAACTCTTCCTTCAGGCTTAAAAATTGTTTGTGTGATAATTTGTAGAAAGTGATCGATTGTGTTTTTTTTCTATTTGTGATGATTTGGTTGCAACAAATAATAAATCAATGCATATAAAGAAACAGAAATTGCTTTGGATGTCATATTAAGATGAAAACTTAAACTTAAAATTTTGACAACAGAAACCGGAAAATTTGACAAAGAGACATGTTTTTAAGACACTAAACATACTCGAAACTGCACAAAACTTGGTACACACATCAGGACTGGCCAAAATTTTGATAATTAGGGGGAAATACACACCTCAATAGAAAAATGGCTCAACAGCGCCACCTTGAAAATTTCAACGGAGTCCCATCGGAAGTGTGCTCCGAGTCTCAGCCAGAGCGTGTTTCCGCCACGGCCAACACGCATGCCGCCGCGGCTCACCACTAAACAGGAAGTGGCTCCTAACTAGGCCGCACATGCTCCGATCTGCCCCAAACTCGACACGCCAGATCGGAGTCCTGCGTGGAGCACATTTGTGCCACACCTCGACGTACGTGAAGGCCGACAATCGTACGGCGAGGACCCGTCCATCGCCACTTGTGGCCTTAATTATTATTGTGTTATCCATGAATTTTCAAATTTACTGTTATATAAAAAAAATTCAAAAAATAGTAAAGCACATTATTATGTCTTGATTAATATGTCAAATTATAGTTTTTTTACTTGCATTCATGAACACAAAAATTTTGTTTTAGTGGTTGAATGTTATGTTTGATTATTTTCTGACTTCTCAGAGAAGCCCAGTGAGCTGGCTCAGATTTGGGTATAAAAAAAGTGAATTCAAGTTAAAATTCTTCATTCCAGTTTAAAATGGTAAAACATTGAGAGTTTACTGAAAATGAAAACTCATTACTGAGGCCTGCAAACATCCATAAATGCCTCAGATTTGCCAGAGAGCACGAACACTGTACTGTTTATGACTGGAAGTAGGTACTCTGGACGGATGAGTCCAAGTTTGAACTCTTCGGTCAGCATCGTTGTCCACAGAAAAGCTGGAAAACGTTTTGATGCCAGATGCATTGCACCCACAGTGAAACAAGATTATGGTATGGGGTTCCATTTGTGGAAACGATGTGAGCAAATTAGTGAAAATCAAAGGTATCATGAACAGGAATGTCTACCATAACATCTAAGTGCATCCTGAAATCCCTTCTGGAGTGAATCTGATTGGTCGTGGGTTCATATACCAACAAGACCATGACCCCAAGCATACCTCAAAGCTGTGCAGAGACTTATTGACCTAGAAAAAGGAATCTGGAGTCCTGGGGTCTCATTTATCATCAGTGCATACACTCAGATATGTGCGTAGAGCGTGCGTACGAACATTCCTACATGAAGAATGGAATTTATCAACTTGTACTTATACTTAGGAATGTGCATAAATATAGGCCAACTCTGACCATGCGTACGCACATAATCTAGCGGTAGAATAGTGAAACTACAAATAGAAAACATTCAGGAATTTTGACCACCGGCATATTCGAGCGTGAGATTGGAGACATATGTGGCATTTCTAGCCATCACTGAGCAGTATCATGCCGGCAGTGTTGGATGCCATAACTCCCCTGGCCCCAGCCTACATCCAGTTCCCTTACAACCATCACCGATGAGCCCAAATCAAACAGGGACTTAACGCCATTGCTGGATTCCCAAACATTAGTGGAGCCATAGACAGCACTCACGTCGCATTCAAAGCAGCATCACTAAACAAGCTTAATTTTGTAAATAGACCAGGGTTTCATTCAGTCAACGTACAGATAATTTGCGATGCAAATTTGTCGCTATCCAATGTTGTTGCCCAGTGGCTTGGAGGAACGCACGACTCATTCATTGAGCAGAACAGTTCTGTGGGTCTCCAAGCAGGAGCTGCTGAAAACGACTGGTATATTGGCGAGTCTCACAAAGAGTTAGATGTTGTAGCTGGACTTAGGATGGTTATTAAAACATCTCATCTGTAGTGATCAGGGTTATCCACTGGGTGAAAGTTCGGTATTAATTTGTCCTCGTCCAGCTGCAGTCATTTCTCTTTCATGGGCTGTGATGCGTTTTTTGGCACTGAGCCGGCGATCTCCTCTGACCCAACAGAAATAACTGCGGTGGTTACACTTCCATGTGCCATTGCTTCAATAATCCAACACTAATGCACATGTGAAGTATTTACAAGTGTAAAAGTAAGAAGAAGAAAGTAAGATGTTTCTGTTTAACTGTGTTGCCTCTCATTGGAAGCTGGGTTTTATGAATGTAAACTGTCGAACGCTGCCACCTACTGCCTGGAAGAGGAAACAACAGCTCTTCTGGCGTTTCCAGGATGACGATGAACCTGCAGAGTTTATTCAGTCTCACGGTGTCTACGTGATTTACAGAAACAGCTCCTCCTATATATTTCAAAAAGCTGTGTCCCAGTTATGAGGCTTTTTTTTTTTTTTCGCTCCTGTCACGTTTTCACTCACTGTGGGTTCATTTTTCACTGCAACATAAAGTCCTGCCCCTCTATGGAAACAGAACAACCATCAAGAAGGCGAGAGAGCTCAGAAATATCTTCTGTGCTGTCATTATTGATGACTTATTTTACAAAATGATCACCTCTAGAAAGATGTTTTACCATGCTGGATGTATCTGTAAGCAACGTGTTCCTCTGTGTGCCATATTAAAGCCACAAGTACAAAAACTGGATGCTTAAAAAACCTAGTCAAAACTGAAATACTTAAATGCACTAAAACAAAGTTAGTGATGTTGATTGTTGTGATATGAAAGTATTTTAAATTCATTATCAGTGAGATTAAAGAAGTTTTTAAAGTGTACACATTCTTGAAATGTATTAAATAGCATGAAGGTGTTTTAAAAAGGTGAGAATTCAGGGGAGGTTTTCAGACTATTTGGTGAATTTAAAGTGTTTTTTACTCTTTGTTTATTAACCCTTTGATAGACATATAATTTTGTTTGTTTTTCCCCAGATTTGAATCTGAATTGGCTCTTAACTTTAAATTAGTTCTAAATCATGAACATGAATCCCTTAAATTTTAATTTGTTAGCAATGGACAAGACTTACAAATTCCTTAAACTCACTGTGGTTGGATTAAAGGAGAAGTACAAAAATTATATAAATTACACATTTATTTGACTATAATATATAATAAGGCCCTACAGTGGTTTTAATTATGGAGATCATGGTGACTAATTTGTAAAGTTATGATTCCACAAAAATACACATGGAAACCCAACAAATCCAGGGATTTCCTGGATCCCCAGTGAACAGGCGTCTTTGTTTTTTGTCTTCATTTTCTGTGGATTTTTATTTTATTTGGTGGAGAAGGTAAAGTGTTTCAAAGGGATTCAGAGGTTCAATGTTCTCTGGCTATCAATTCACTGATTTAGTAACTTAAAGACTATTTAAAGGCTGATGTCTGTTTCGTCTTGTTTCTAACACTTTATTGTTAAACGGTCTGGACTCCTTAATGCAAAAACAGAAGAAAACATGTTGAGTTTGCAGCAGAGACAGGAAGGCTCAATGATGTTCATCGACATAAATGACATTTTTCTGGACTCCCAGACACATTAAAAGGCCTCAGATGTGGATAAATGTGTCAATTGCAGCAGCAGAAACTAGATCCTTCCTCCCTCAGTGATACTTCCTGTCTCCACAGTGTGTTTCCTCGCGAGCTGAAGGAGGTTTTTGCGTCGTGGAAGCAGCAGTGCATCGCTCGTGGCCACCAGCAGGACATCAGCAAACGCCTGATCAGCGCTTCCCTGTTCCTACGCTTCCTTTGTCCCGCCATCATGTCGCCGTCGCTCTTCTACTTGATGCAGGAGTATCCAGACGACCGGACGTCTCGGACGCTGACGCTCATCGCCAAAGTCATTCAGAACCTCGCCAACTTCACCAAGTGAGTATCAGCACCTCTGAGGGCTGAACTGCGAAGCAAAAGTGAAACAGTCATGTGCAGCTGCTTCAGTCAACAGGTTGTTTTGCTGTCGAGCTGTAAAGAATATAAAACTTTATGACAATAAGCAGTGCTGCAACTGCAAATGATGTAGTAGGCGACTTCATACTGTATATTTAAACATGATATTGTATTGAAGTGCATTTAGAGCTGACACTGTTCTGTAATGCAGGATATCACTGTTTGTTTGGCCAAATCAACGTGAAATTAATGTTATTGATTAAAAATTCTCTGTCATAAATACCAAATAGAGTAATCAGTTTCTAGAATCAGTCAGCTGCAGTACCAGCAGTGTAAATGGCAGTGAATCAGAACAAAACATAAAAACATATTTATGCAATTTCTGCATAACCACCTGAATACATGTAGGTTCCCATGGCAATACGATGCATACAGTATGTGATAGTGTTACTACTTCATTCAGTGGTTTTAGCTTTTTTTTTCTTAGTTTCAATCTTTGCATGATTGACATGTTGCAGATAAAACTTATTTTCCTTCAGCTGAGAATCTATCACTCAGAGAATCGTCAGGAAACAATTTGATTAAAGGAGATGCTTTTTTTTCAGTCCATTTAAATCTGAAACTCTGAACATAACCTGCTCCCTACCAGGTTAGCTCTCCAGCATCAGTTACCATGGTGATCTAGCAGGTAAAAAGAGAGCCACCTGAAAACTGTGACTTTAAACTCAACATACCTGCTAACACATTTTGTAACAGTCCTCTGGTGAATCCAGCCTCTAAACGCCTCTTTGCTCCGCAGGTTCGGCAACAAGGAGGAGTACATGGCCTTCATGAACGACTTCCTGGAGCACGAATGGGCGGGGATGATGCGTTTCCTGTCGGAGATCTCCAACCCGGAGACGCTGTCCAACACGCCGGGCTTCGAGGGCTACATTGACCTTGGCCGTGAGCTTTCGGTGCTTCACGCTCTGCTGTGGGAGGTCGTCTCTCAGCTGGACAAGGTAAAATTCAATTCAATTCAATTCAATTTTATTTTTATAGCGCATATTTACAACAACAAGTCATCTCATAGCGCTTCACAAATGCAGAGACAGAAACACCCAACAATCCAAAACGTTTGGATTCCCTATAAGCTTCAGCAGTCCGCAACAGTGGGAAGGAACCGAAAACCCCCACAGGGGAAAAAAAACCTCAGACAGAACCAGGCTCAGGGAGGGACGGCCATCTGCCTCGACCGGTTGGGTGGATGTAGGATGAATTCTAAAATTTAGTTTACAGTTAAACAAGTTATTAGAAGTTATTGTCCTTTTGTAACAGGAGGCATCATGGTGGGGGAAGCAGGATGCAGAAAGGTGAGGCCAGCGGCTGTAATTCAGGAGCTCCAGATCCAAAGACATCCACAGAGAGAGCAGGCGCAGGAGAACCTTGGGGGGAGTCACAGAGTTAGTCATATGTAATGGTGATAGGCAACTATATAAACATATACATACATACACACACATATGTATATATATAAAGAGGAGAGGAGAGGAGAGAAGCCCAGTGCATCATGGGAATCCCCGGCAGTCTAAACCTATAACAGCATCACTAAGGGACAGCTCAGATGACTCAGAGCAGTCCTAACTATGAGCTTTATCAAAAAGGAACGTTTTTAACCTAATCTTAAAGGTAGAGAGGGTGTCCGCCTCCCGAACCCAAACTGGGAGCTGATTCCATAAGACAGGAGCCTGATAACTGAAGGCTCTGCCTCCCATTCTGCTTCCAAAACAAATTGATGCTGAGTGAAGCGACGAAAACGGACTCACTGAGAGCAGATTCACAGTTTGATGGGTTTATGCATGTTGTAGAACGTCACAGTGTGGAAGTTATTGTTTAACTCATAACAATCAACTACATCTGGTAAAAAGTTTCCCTGACCTCCTCAGAATCAGCTGAGTTTTATTTTTTTTTTAATCTACATCAGCTTTAGTATATTTAATGAAGCCCTGCAAAGTTTTACCTTCATGCATAAATATTGTAAGAGTTACGGGCCCTTGAAGTACATAGTGAGTCTAAATTTTATTTTATTTCTGAGCCTCATAACTTCATCAGTCCAGCAGATAGACACATGACATTTTAGGATGAAAAACACATTTCAGTTCTGTTAAAACTGCAACCAGATCCATTTTACATCCATCCAGGTGTCACAGTCTAAACAGAAAGACTGTTTTTTGTTTAGAATAACTTTCTCTATGATCAACTTTGAGCATCGATATTACGGGATGTATCACAATTTGAACAGTAAAGCAGTTTAAAGTCTATGACATAGAGTCATAGAAACAATCATTGGTACCCTGGATGTGTGTCTGTGTTGTGATAATTCACCAGAAAACTTTACAGAGTGCATTCTGGGTAAACTTTCAAGGCTCATATCAGCATGTATAATGGTGGCTGGCTGCAACAAGTTATAGACAATGAAAGGTTTCATTTTACCCTACATTTGATACCAGACTCATCTTTTACACATGATTCACTATGTAGCAAAAGTATTTTCTAATATAGTTGAATTTTAACATGCTTTGTGCCTAAAACAAGCAAATTTGGCTGCAGTGGATACATTTTACTGAATGAGATTTGTTTACCCTCTGAAACCCGCCAGTGAGTTTGAAAGGCATCTTCTGTTCATTTTTTAAGTAGAAAAAACAAAACAAAATAACACAATTTATCAGCAAGTAACTGTAAAAACTGAAAGACTTGTTGGTACCTGAAGACCTTCTGGTTCATCTGTGATCTTAATCATGTCCAAATCATCCATATCTGTAATTCGTAAAGGTAAAAATCCACCACAAAAGTCATGTCACAATATTAATCCTGTGGATTTTAGTGATTTAGGTCATTTTAAAATAGTTTTGAAGATTTTGTCATTGTCATACCTTTCTTTGCCTCTTTCCCTCTCGAGATTGTGATTATGGAGGCAGCTTTGACAATTATAGATCAAAGTTTGGAGGGTGTTGGTGCAAATTCAGGATGTTTATGTCGCTGCAATATCATGGAGTTTCATTCACAGAACAAATCTATCAGGGGAGTGAAATGTCAAAGGATGAGTAGATGGACGGCACATGGCTGCATGTAATAAGGAATGTTTTGCAGTTTTTCCAACACGTTTTTACAGGTTATTGTTATACATGTGAATAATGTAAGTAAATTGCAGAAAAACACAGGTTTTTCTTATCTCCTGTGAATTCAACATACAGGGAGGGAAGTTCTCCCTTGTTAATACTCATCCCAGATGAACAGCTTTGTCTTTGAGTTATTTAACTGGACACGAGGGACATGTTTATCTCCAGGCTTCTGGATTGCTTCGAAGTAGTGGTTTTGGTCATGATTTTTGTTCTATAAGAACAGTCAGATTTTATTTGGAAAAGTCTCTGGATGATTTTTTTGCTACTGTCACGTTTTTTCCTCACAGTAGGCTCATTTTTCACTGCAATATAAAGTCCTGCGATTCTATGGAAACAGAACAACCATGACTAGAAGAAAAAAGTCACATTTCTTTCAATGTTTGTTTTACAAAAAATGTAAAAATTAAAATTGAAATCTACAAAAAAATTTTGGAAGTGCCCCCAGATGTTATCAATATCGAAACCCTCAACTTTCAGCTGGTCCTTGAACACATCGTGTGCCATGCTGTTCCTTCAGGAAAAATTACCAAATCTAAGCTTAAAATTGTCATATTTCATCAAAATCACTTCATTCTACATGTATCATTTAAAAAAAAAAATCTTCAAAAATAAACCATTTGTAACCGATTCTGTTAAAGATTTTTAAAAATCTCAGCTCCTCAGCATAACCAAGAAGAGTGTTTTTCACTCATGTAAAAATACGTTAATGCAGAACTTTTAAATGAGATATGTAGTGACACATGATTAGCTCAAGTCAAAGGTTGAAAATCTGATGGATCTTTCTGTTTTTACATTTTATGGCTAATAAATAATGGAAACGCTTTGTTTACAGAGAAGTTTCAAATGAGACGTAGAAAAAGTGATTGTGATTTTGATGCAATTTCCATATTTTGGGGTATTTTTCTCAAAGGAAGCACTTGTCACACATGATTAGTCCAAGTGGGAAAGTTGAAAATCTGATGGTTCTTTCTGTTTTTTACAGTTTCTGGCTAATAAGTGGTGTCATGTTGGTGATTTTTTTTAAGACAACAAGCCGTTAAAGTTGCTGTCAGGTTTTGAGGTCCAGAGGTTTAAAATAAAGCTAAATACGTTTCACTGTGTGGTTTTGAACTGACTTTGTGTCCTGATAAACTTGCTGATCTCACCTGTGACTATTGATTGCCGATCAGCAGATGGTTGTTGTGTGTGTGATGTAAACACCGTAGTTCATTTAACCACATTAACACTGCGTGGCTGAACATCACGGCATGGCCTGACCTCCCCCGTCCTCCCCCTGCCTGCCTCCCTCCCCCACAGCATCTCACCTGTCTCACCTGCCAGCCTCAGCATGGCTCTGCTGTGTTGGATGTTCAGTAGAAGCATGTTGTCCTAGACATTTCCATTAAGTTTCCCTCATGTTTTTTTTTTTCTTTCCTCTCCTCCCTGTTCCTCTTTCTGTTCACTTCATCTCTGTGCCCCTCCTTTTTGGTTTTGCTTTTCCACCACCAAAACCACCACAACCACCACCGCATTCTGGTGCTTCCGTTCAAACAAACACATACACACGGCGACCACAGGGTGAAAATTCCTTCCTGCAGGCCACCGTAGCGAAGCTGGGCCCACTGCCAAGGATTCTGGGAGATATTTCTCGCTGTCTGGCTGCTCCCACGCCGGTCCAGCAGCAGCTTCGTCGCTTCCAGGATCACAGCTCTGCCCACAACATCAGCGGCAGCCTGTCGTCAGGGTTACAACGAATCTTCGAGGACCCCACCGACAGGTAGCCAATCAGAGTAGACGCAAAACCTTTCGGCAGAGTTTAGGTTTCACTTAAAAAAATAATGGTCGAGACAGACAGTTTCCAGCAGCCTTCAGTCTGAACAAGTATTTACAGAAAAATACCAGTTTATTAATAACTGGGACTGGGACTAACTGGGACATGAACCGGGGATCTTCTACCTGCGAAGCGACTCAGTTCTTATCTATACAGATGTGATTTTAAGAATTCTCACATCCAACACACCAGAAGTTTTGTTGTTGCTAAATAATTCCTGTAATAAATCAGGTGGTGTTAACAAGACAAAAAACGAAATGTCGACAGTTCATGATCTGAATATTTTCAGCCTCTGACTGATGAACATCAACTACACATGTAGGATTAACCTTGAAAATTAAAATGCATTAACATTTTTCTAATTCAACCAAAACTAAAAAGCTTCTATCAAACATAGATCAGGTATAAGCCAGATGTTTCCCATCATGCTCCTGAGACCATGCAGTCATTGGAGTCTGACTTCTGCAAATGTTTGCTTGAACAAGTTTGTCAGAAGAAGTCGCGATCAAATCAGACAGAAATCTAAGATGAGACACACCTTTATTAAGCCTCAAGGAAATTCCTATTTCAGATGTTGCTCAGAAAAAAATGACATGGGAAGAAATGCAGAACTTACAAAACAAAAGGAATAAGTACAGTACATTACAAAAAGTAAAAAAGGAAGCTGAAATGAGACCAGAATTTTTAAAAAAGCAGGAGGTAATAGAGGCAGAGATGCTGATCAAGCCTGCACAGGTCTGACTCATCTCAAATGAGCCGAATATTTAAACCTCATTTTGCCTCCATCATTCGTTTACAGCAGCTTTGAACTGTTTATTTTTCTGTTTATGGTTAAATTGAGATTTTACATTAAATAACCGTCAGACTGCTCTAACTGAACATTTCCTACCTGCAGTCGCAGTGAGGTTCGCAGCCTGCAGTCTCCTGTCGAGCTGATGGAGGGTTATGCTCGAGGTCAACGCCCCCTGCTGACTCAGCAGCATCACTCCACCCGCACCAGCTTCTCCGACCAGGAGGAACGTGACATCCTGCTGCCCAACGGTCGTAGCATCTCTCTGGTCGACCTGCAGGACACCCAGAACCTGCATGGACCCGCCGGGCCGCCACCGCACCACGAGGCCCCGCCCCGCCTCAGCAGGGTGGGCTCCCAGGCCTCCATTGGTCAGGCCCCGCCCCTCGTCACCTACCCCCACTCCAACCCACTCACGCCTCAGCCGGCGCCACATCAGGCCAAAGCTGCACCCAGAGACGGCCAGCCACAGAGCGCCCCACAGGTGAGGCGGCCGTTGCATCCTTCCCTCAGCCAGCAGCGCAGCCTGCAGCCGCTGTCCTTCCAGAACCCCGTCTACCATCTGAGTAACCCCGCCCACAGCCTGTCCACCAGCTCTGCCCACTCGCTGCGGCAGGACTCGAGCTCAGAGAACCTCAGCACCGAGAGTTCACACAACAGCCACAGCAACTCTGACGACTTCGGCAGCCAGGTGGGGGTCAAAGGTCGGGCGCCGTCCAACAGCAGTCTGGATGAGTTGGGCAGCCGGCGGAGCACACAGAGCGAAGAGTGTTTGACGCCACGACGCCACGCACTGCCTGACCTGCCACCCGGCGCTGCCACAGCGGTCGCCATCCCCCGTCAGAGCACGACGGCGGGCACCGCTCACATCGTCAAGGTGGAGCAGCAGAGCCGAGGGGCCGGGGCCAGGACGCCACGGTCCCTCCCCCACAGTGGTCCCTCCCCCTCACTACGCAGCAGCAGCAGCGTCAACACTGAGCCGACGTCTACCACCGCCATCAGCAACCGGCAGCCGGAGAACGTGGCTCCACCCCCGAGGACCACCACCAAGCAGCCGGCGCCACAGGTACTGCAGTGAATCCGCCTACTTCACTGTCTGTACAGCTTCTCCGGGTGTGTTTGTGATGATGTCACTGTGTGTGTGCAGGTGGCATCTCCGGTGGAGGCGGTGGCGATGTCACCAGTGGAGAGAACGGCAGCCTGGGTCCTTAACAACGGCCAGTATGAGGAGAAGGAGGAGGAGGGAGGAGAGAGGAGCAGAGAGGAGGGCAGGAACACTGAGAAGGTAAACACTTACCTGTACTGACTCACCTGCACAAATACAGTGAGGCAGATAACTGCAAATAGAAGAATATTTCATTTTGTCATAAAAACACCAAAACGTCATCAGGTGAAGGCACTCCAATGAGTAGCTGTTTGATATCATGATATGCACAGAGCATTTTGGTGTGCTGCTGTTCATGTTAAACCGCCTCTTGAATCCGCAGTATGAGATGGAGATTTCTCGGCTGAAGGAGCGTCTTCGGGTTTCTGGCCGGCGGCTCGAGGAGTACGAGCGACGGCTGCTGGCTCAGGAGCAGCAGATGCAAAAACTGCTGCTCGAGTACAAAAACCGGCTAGAGGACAGTGAGGAGCGACTGAAGAGGCAGCAGGAGGAGAAGGACAGTCAGATGAAGAGCATCATCTGCAGGTACGAACACACCTGATAAAAGCATCAAAATGCTCTTAAAGGAAGTTGGAGTTGATCTGTGGGTTTGTCTGCAGGCTGATGGCAGTGGAGGAGGAGCTGAAGCGGGACCATGCAGAGATGCAGGCGGTGATCGAAGCCAAACAGAAGATCATTGACGCTCAGGTAAAGACAGACAGTGATGTCACACCTGTTACACACCTGCAGAAGGTTTTAAACACAAAATGATGCCGTGAGCAGATTTGATCAGTCAGATAGGTTACACCTGTGAGAGTCAGTCAGCAGCTCTGCTTCTCATAATCTCTTCACTGGTTTCAGGTCAGTAACGGATGTGAAATAAACCAATCAGGCAAGTAACTGTAGCCCCGCCCCCTTCCTCCACCAGCCACCATGCTGTTTTATTTATTATTTGTTATTTTCTTATGGAAGAAAAAAAAAAACACGCCGGTGACAAGAAGCGCCAACACGCCTCGCACCTGTTCGAGCAGCAAGTTTCAGCAGCAGGAGCAGTTCAGGAAAGGCTTTGTTCAGCCTCAGGCAAGGATTCAGAAAAACACGAGTCAGTTTAGTGAGAAAACTGTCTTCAGAATGAACAGTCAGTTAACAGCAGATTGAAACTGATGCACTCACGTAACTTTCATTTTTTTCATGCTCTCCATCATTGCATTGTGGTCAAATTATTTTGTTGTTCGGCAAGAATTTACCAAAAAAAAAAAAGACATCAGATTTCTACAAAAGTATTGTTAATAAAGTAAAAATATAAAACGCAAAAGGAATGATTGCACCCCCTTCAAGTCAGCATTTAGTTGATGCATCTTTAGTTTTCAACTACAACACTAATCCTGGTCTCAATCATCCTGAACATCTGGACGCTGCAGATTTACATCCTTCTTTGTAAAACTGCTCAAACTCTGTCAGGTTACAGGGATCATGAGTAAACAGCTCTTAAGTCTCTTTAAGTCCAGCCACAAATTCTCAGTTGGATTGAGGTCTGGGCTCTGAGTGGGCCTCCAGAACCTTCACCGAGGTGGATTTAAACAATTTTTGTGTTGCTTTGGCTGTTTACTTTGACTCATTGTCTTGCTGACTGCATCAGGTCGTCCTCCAGGATTTAATGCTGCCACCACTGTGCTTCACACAGTGTGTTTGTGATGATGTGCAGTGTTTGAACTCACCAAAATTGGCATGCACGTCCGAATCGGCGAAAAATTTGATAAAATGAAAAAAAAAAACAAGAAAAGGCTCTCTAGCGCCACCTAGTTACAGAAAAACACACTAAAACGGCCCTAGCGCCCAGTAGGAATGTTGTACAGAGATCAAACCAACACCAAAACGTCCGTCTCAATGACGCCCACAAATCTCGCGCTGACACCCCTGACCTATCTCCAACAGGAAGTCCGCAATTTGCCTTTCAAAGTAAGAAAATCCGTGAAAACTTCTTTTGGGAAAAAAATTATCTTGTCTGACACCGTAAAATCGCATCAACTTGAAAATCGCACAGTAGACAGAGAAGGCCTTGATGTACAAAAGTTCTGAAGGGATTTGGCGTTTCTCAACCGGTTTTCGAATGGTGAGCCGTTAAAGTTGATGAGCTGTTGCCGCTTCGGCTCAAACTTTATATGGTTGTCTATGGGGCATGTGCAGACATGCTCTGACATTTGGTCATCTACATAAAAAGGTCCTACAGCTTTACAAATGACACTGAGGGCTTCCTAACAATATTTCCCACAAAAATGTGTTGTTTTTACACACATTTGGTGAAAATTGTGCAAGTATGGGAGAGTTAAAGTGAGTACAACTCTCTGCTCTGTCAGCCAGGGGCTTGCTGAACGATGACATCATCACAGCTCAGTGCAGCTGCTCCTGTCACTCACTGACAGGCTGAGCAGAGACAGAAACATAGCTCCTTCACCTTAAAGCAGGTTTAACTTGAAGAACGGTCACACGGGCATGAGGTTGCAGTGCGGACCGAGGACCCGACAAACACTGCTTGCGAGCCGTTAAAGTTGATGAGCTGCCGCTGAGGTCCTGGGTCACCTGTGTACTTACTGTGCTGTCTGTATAGGACTGTGTGTGTGTCAGCGGGGAAGGGGTGATGGTAGGGGTGTCTCTGTCTGGAACAGCCCTGACCATGTGTGTGTGTGAGGAGGGGGGGGAGATAGCTGTCACAGCTCTCAGGTGGAAGCTGTTCTCAGTCTTTCTGTTCTAGCCCCTCAGACTTTACATGTTGGATCAGAATCCTGCCCTGCTGACATTCTCATGCCATTATCCATCCACAGTCACAGCGCCACCTTCTGGAGACATGAAAGGACACGTTCTACAATTATATTTGCCATTATTAGCTGGTTAGGGTTACGGTTAGGTGATTGTCACCTTTGTCACAACCCAGCAAATAGGTTGTGGCAAAAGAGGGGAGACCACACAGGTGATGTCAGATTTTAACATAAAGTTTTATTAATAGGTTGAATTAATTAATTTAAAGTGAGGTGTGTATGTCAGTGATATCAGTTGTGTAGGTGCAGATGTCTGGATGCCTGGGTGTGATGTGGTGCAAGGTGTTGTCAGGTGTGTGAACCAAACCAAAAGAACACAAACCACAGGTCTGGGGCATGAGGAGGAGAGAGAGCAGGAGCTGAGGGGTTGGCCCTTTTATACCTGGGAGCGCTGGGCCCGAACGTGCCAATCAGGTAGGACCGCCCACTCAGTCTCCAGCAGTCCAGGGACCCGAGGAAATAGCCAGACAGCCAATGTGCTCCACCCACAGACTAGGTGGGGCCGTCACACCTTGCTCAGAGTGCATTTCTGCCACAACCCCGACACGCGCGGACCGAGGACCTGACCAACGCTGCTTGCAGCTTTAATTTTATATATGTGACTTCAAGCACTGGTCAGAGGGTAAATACTAAAGCAATCACTTAGTTTACATTTTATATTTTTTATTATTTGATCTAAATTTGTAGAATTTTTGTTGTTGTTTTCATTTCAATACAAAAAACCTTTTTTGTCAGAAAATCCAAATTAAATTGACTATGATTTGGTATTGACAAGCAATAAAAAGGAAAAACTTTCAAGGGGTTGAATACTTTCCTTAGACGCTGTAGCTTTGGTGGACAACATCAAATTTCACTCTCCTGTTACTTTAACATAAAAGAGCTCCAGAACAATCGGCTGCACTCAGATTGCATCGCTTCATTAGTGTAGCGGCTTTAGTACAAAGAGAATGTGACTCCAGAACAAATCTAGAACAAAGCAGCAGCTTCTTCCCTGAAGCTGCAGGTGTGTTGGCGTGTTGTGCTCTGATTTTATTTCTGTTTGGCTGTAGACCTCCCACCTCCCCTCCTCCTCACCCACCTCCCCCTGAACCACCAAGCGCTTCCAGTTCACGCTCTTTCAAATCCAGAGCAGACGTCAGCAGGTTTACAGGAGACAGTTCAGTTTCACTCAGGTGTTTCCAGGTGAAACCCTGCAGCAGAGCTTCACTCTCACCTTTTCAGTTGTTTTTGTTTTTTGGTTTTTTTGGGGGGGTTTTTTGCTGGTTTTAGCTTTTTGGCCTGTTGTTTATATTTTCGGCTGCTACCCTCAAACTTCTTGTGGATATTTTTTTTAACACTTTACTTGCTGTCTGGTCAAAACCACATTGCCTTCCTCTGAATGATGTGTTGTAATGAAAGGATCTTGTAATTCCTACAGTATATCTCTGCAGAGAAACCCTTTGAAATTTCTGAGTATTTCAGCAAAATTCCTTAATAAGACCTTCAGTTCATCATTGAATCCCTTAAAATTGAACAAATAAGGTTAAAATGAGCACATAATTTAAAATTAATGTATTAAAACATTAAAACATGTTGAGGTTAATTGGTGATTCTAAATTGTCCGTAAGTGTGAATGTGATGGTTGGTTGTCTGTCTCTAAGTGTAGCCCTGCAATAGACTGGCGACCTGTTCAGGGTGTCCCCTGCCTTCGCCCTAAGTTAAGCAGTGTATAGATAATGGATGGATGGTATTAAAACATTATTTACAAGCGCATGAATCCATAGATACATAATCCTTTAGTTTTTTAAATCAAAGGATTTCTGCTGATCAGACATTTATTTTTCAATGCATTAAATAATTTATTTAATGAATTTAATTTATTTATAATTTAAATAAAATATTAAATAATGCAGTTTTTAAAAATTTAAAAATATGAAAGTTTTGGGGGGATAAACATGATGAGCTAGAGTGTTCCAAATTAAAATCTAAATTACGGTGAAAAATTATGAAAACTTGAACAGATTTTTTATTGTACAAATTTTGAACTGGTTTATTTTTACAGTAATGTTTTCAAAGTATAAAAAAAAACTAGAATAAAAGTTAATTAATGTGTTTTTATGTACATTTTCTTTCTCTTTTTTTTAACCCGCAATTATTACAATCTATTGATTTATTTATAGAAGATTAAACCAGTTATTAAATTAAACTCACTTTATGTTGTTCATTATTGCTAGCTCTTAAAATGATAGTTTCCTCAGTTAGACCATTCAAGTGTAAGGCCCTTTTAAAAAGGGGTTTAGTTTTCAAATTAAATGACAAATTAAATCTGACAAACACTCTGATTTAGATAAGAAAGCTTTTTTTTTTTATCTTTGTTTTAAAAACCCTCTCTGACTTCTCTTTTAGAAGAGCTGTAAAGGTTTGTACAGTGTAAAACTATATTTATATGAAATGTGTTGTATAAGTAAAAATAATAATTATTAAGGGGACTTTAAGGGATTGTTTTTGCTCCGGGACAGTGTGGTTTTAATCCGACAGTTCGATCGTCACAGCTTTTTAAAACTTTTTTCGGTTCCTACCTGTCGGTCTGACTTTGTACCCCGCCTGCTTCTTGTCTCTGTCCAATCAGGAGAAGCGGATCGGCTCGCTGGACACGGCGAACTCACGACTGATGGCGGCGCTGACGCAGGTGAAGGAGCGTTACAGCGTACCGAACCTCCGCAACGGCCTGTCGCCAAGCAACCCCACCAAACTGTCCATCACTGAGAACGGAGAGTTCAAGAACAGCAGCTGCTGATTGGTCCACTGGCATACGGGGCGGGCCTAAACTGTGTGACTCCGCCCACTTCTGTGAGGACCAGTGGATTAAAAAAAGACAAACGGAAGTTTTAGAGAATCTATGAACACGAGTGTAAATACTGAAGGTCGACCTGTTCAGTGTACAGAGTGTGTGTGTGTGTGTGTGTGTGTGTGTGTGTGTGTGTGTGTGTGCGCAGCATCACAGAAGCACAGTGAGGACAGAAACAAACCAAAAACAGAAACTAAAAATGTTTTCTAACCTACTTTTCTATTGTTTTTATTTGAACGTTCTTGTTTTTGTTGTCGAGGCTGAAGTTCGATTTTCTTTGATTCTCTTGTTTTAGAGTGGATTTTTTTTTCTTTTCTTTTTTTTTTCTTACCTGACCAGTTGTTTTGGGTTTTAATTTATTCCTCCTCGTTCTCGTCCTGTTGCTGATCTACTGAACAGACTCCTTGAGGATCAGGGTCAATGGTCAACTGTCTGCTGTCCCATGTTGAGAATAAAAAGCTGCCTGAAAGTCCCACTGCGGTTTGGATTTCTGTTGTATATGTGGAAACAGATTCAGTGTCTGGTAGAGAAAATCAGTTCTTTACTTTAGCATTTCAACACACAAAAAAATGAAAGACGGGCATACCCATGGTAATGTGGAATACTGTTCTGAGACCTCGAGTTTAAAATTTTGCCCCGAAAGCCGTCCATTAATTTAAACCTTAAATCAAATCAAAGGTGTAAGAAACTTAATGGTGTTTGTTGAATTTGAAGTTGTTAAATTATGTAAATAACCCTATAAAAACCTTTTTGAAGGATTCTTGCAGAAATTTAAACTTTGACTGCAATCACACCTTAAACTTCTCCACGAATCCCTTAATATTGACTGACTACTGATTGAAGTTAAAGACTTTCTTAATGTATACCTTAATAATAGGAAACACATTTTTCTGCTATTTGGTTTTTGTCTTACTCGAAGAACTAATTTAAGATAGGTTCTGTTTCTGGTCAACAAGTTCAGTTAGTCAGCTTTTCAGCAGACTGACTGCAGACTGAAAAGCTGGATGCAGCGACTGTGACGCCACATGTTGGTTTGTGGATAACTGTTCTGAAACTTTTGAGTTTGGAATTTGGCAGACGCCATCTTGGTTTTTTTGTTTGTTTTTCAATAACAATTTTATTGAGTTTTTCAAGTAGTATAACAATTAAAGGACATGGACATAGACACAGCCAATAAGATAAAAAATCTGTACAAGGAACAAACAGAAAAAACAAAAACAAATCAGACAATACAGTTAAAACAACAAAAACAAAAAGGCAAACAAAGTACATTTACAAAATATACACAATACCCCATTCCTTCATCATGCTCACTTCACAGTTTCATTAACCTGTTGGAGTCCATCACATTTAAGTGCAGCCTCAGCCTGAGTAGGAATGTTCAGGGTCCGTTTTCAGTCCAGATGGCTTCCAACTGAGGTGAGAGAATCCTTTTGACAGTAAGTCAATACTGTCACAGGAAGGTAGTCCATGAGTGGTTGCCAAGTGGTCAAGAATAACTATTTATTGCCTTTCATCACAGCGCTAATCCTCTCGTGTGGAAGTACAAAAAAAATCTCTCTTTGTACCACATGCTAACAGTGGGAGGTTTGTCCTCGATCCATTTCAACAGTCTTTCTTGCCAAAAGTAAGTTTATCTAGCAATTGAAATTTAAGAGAGGGGACTGACACAAATTTAGATGGCAGACCAAGTAGAAAGAGGCCAGGATCCTCGGTCACTTTAGTTTTGAAAATGCCACAGTGCTCTTTTGTTATACAGGACCAGAAACGTGATATGTATTTACACTGCCAGAAAAGATTAATATAGTCCCCTCGCTCTTTTCAGACATTTCAGGCAGTGTGGTGACAGGCCTGGGTCCATCTTATTCCCAATGCAGGATGTTATGTGTAATCTATGAAGAATTTTGTATTGAGTTTCCCTCAGTCTATTACAAGAAAACACGTTTTTGATACAGTTCAAAGCTTCTTGCCAGTCGTTCTCTATGTACTCATTATCTATGTCCCTTTCCCATTTACGTTGGACATTAAACAAGCTTATAGGACAGGTGTCATGTAACAGGAAGTAAAAGGAGGAAATAAAATGGGAAGAATTCTTGCAATTAATAAAAAAGGATTCTGGGGCACTTAACTTAGGAGTATTGTGGGAGGGGAGACACAGTTCCCTACTAAAGTGGCGAATCTGCAAGTACCCAAAAAAATGCTCTGTTGGGAGACCATACTGAAGTCGAAGTTGCTGAAAGTGGCTGAATCTTTAAATAAATCTCCAATAAACTTAATGCCTCTGGACTTCCAAATCTCGAAAACTGAGCGACTGTTAGTCAGGATGAAGTCAACACTCCCACAAATAGGTGTTAGCACAGAGACCAAATCCTTCCTCCCAGAGAAACGAACTATATCCCTCCAGACCCTCACAGAGTTGTAGACTGTAAGGTTAGCTTTGACCTCTTTCACAAGGTTTTGCCCTTTGCAACTAAATCAAGCCCCACATAGATGTAGATGAGCAATGATATAATAGATAGACATAATAGATATGCTAATAGAATAAATAGAAATAAAATAAATACAAATAAATAGATATAATAGAGTCAATGCAGAAGGTTGAGTCAAGATATGACCAAAGCCAACCCCAAATTATCCGAGCATGGCAGGCCCAGTTATAAAAAAGTATGCTGGGTAGGCCAAGACCAACAGCACTGGTTGGCATTTGTAGAATCTTGTTTTTTTTTCCCTCGGCTTCTTACCATGCCAGATAAATTCAGAGAACAGTTTTTCAATACTGGAGGCTACTTTCCTGGGCATCCATAGGGGCAACATCTGTAGGGGATAGAGAATCCTGGGGAGCACGTTCATTTTGATCAAAATGATTCGGCCAACGTTGTAAGTCTCTTTTAACAGCACATATAGTCGAGGAAATATTTAGTTTCCAGAGATCAGACAGATTGGGGGATACTTTAATTCCAAAATAAGTGAAACCTGAGCTAGACCATCTAAATGGGAAATCCTCTGTCAAATCATCAAGATCTAGTCCGCCAATGGGCATTGCCTAAGACTTATCAAAGTTAACCTTGTAGCCAGATACACTACTAAATTCTTCCAACAATAACATAATAGCAGGATTTGGACTTTCAGGGGAAGATAAAAAAGAGTGAAACATCGTCAGCATAGAGAGCTATTTTGTCAGTAGTATTCCCCACTGAGACACCCTTTATATCTGCATTAAGCCAAATGGCTACAGCAAGGGGTTCCAGGGCTATTGCGAACAGAAGTGGACAAAGGGGGCAGCCTTGTCTGGTGCCCCTAGCCAGTGGAAAGGGTTCAGAGCGGAGACCGTTTGTGATAACACTAGCCGTTGGTGAGTCATAAATGGTTTGTATCCACCTCAGGAAGCTATCAACCCCAATCAGGCTAATAGGATGGTATGAGCCACAATCCTCAGGAGGTTTACCTTTTTTTTTTTAAAATCAAGGATATATTGGCCAAATGAAGAGATTGTGGTAATTTCTGACTGTTAAAAGAATGTTGATACATGTCTGTCAGAGGTTTGACTTGAATCTTGCTGAATGTTTTATAAAATTCTGGACCAAATCCATTAGGACCAGGGGCTTTCCCCTCCTTTCGTGTCCTGATGGCCTCCAAAACATCATCCTCTGTTATAGGTCTGTTCATCTCTCCCTTCTGTTCATCATTAAGACCAGGGAGCTCCAGTTTATCTAAAAACGCCCCTAGTGCGGTTGCAGAGGAATGATATTCAGAAGAATTTAAGTTCTGGGAAAACGTCTCGTAGTTTTGTTGATATCGAGTGAGGTGTATATGTCCCCCCCCCCCCCCCCTTCCATTCCTGAGTGATGAGATATTGTTAGTTTCTACTCTACCTCTAGCTAGTCAAGCAAGGAGGTGACCTGATTTATTGCTGGACTCACACAGTCTGTGTCTGGCAAAGAAAATTGAAGTTTTGTCTTTTCTAGTGAGCATCTGGTCCAATGCTGCTCTTGCTGCATCGAATAGTTTCCCAAGTGGTTTTGTGGGATTGGACTTAAATTCTTCTTCCAGACATTTTACTTTTCCTTAAGCTCTAATTGAGTTTTTAGTTAAAGTTTTTTTCTTTGCAGAGGTGCATGCTAGAATAGAACCCCTTAAACAACATTTAGCCGTTTCTCATAGAGTTGAAGGGTAAACGTCTGGTGTTCTTTTCACTGCCAGAAAAATTCCAGTTCTTTAGTAATAAAATCTCTAAACTTGGAGTTACTTATGAGATGAGGATTTAGGCGCTAATGTCTACAAGATGGATCATTGCATGGAAGACAGAAGGTGACACTAACGGGTAACGGGGCAGTGATCTGAGAGGACTTGAGTTGCAACTGAGCATTCAGTAATCCTTTCCAAAATCCCTCTTGAAACTAAGAAGTAGTCGATTCTAGAAAATGACTGATGGGGTCCAGAGAAAAATGTAAAATCTTGTCCTTTAGGATTCAATATCCTCCATTCAATTCAATTCAATTCAATTCAATTTTATTTGTATAGCGCATATTTACAACAAGTCATCTCATAGCGCTTAACAAAGGCAGAGACAGAAACACCCAACAATCCAAAACATTTGGATTCCCTATAAGCTTCAGCAGTCCGCAAGCAGTCTGCAACAGTGGGAAGGAACCGAAAACCCCCGCAGGGGAAAAAAAAACCTCCGACAGAACCAGGCTCAGGAAGGGACGACCATCTGCGTCGACCGGTTGGGTGGATGTAGGATGAATTCTAAAATTTAGTTTACAGTTAAACAAGTTATTAGTGGCACGGGCTGAGCCCGAGGCCACTATTGTTATTCCCGTGCGCTTTTTCTTATTAGTGGCACGGGCTGAGCCCGAGGCCACTATTGTTATCCTGTGCGCATCTTCTTATTATTCCTCTTCCGTACAAAAGTTTGACGGCCTACTCCTCCCACAGATTTGGGAGCACCCACACAAATTATACATCAAAACGTGCGGCTCGATCGGGAAAAGTGTGCTTACATACAGATTTACAAAAATCGCATTTTTCGCGACACAATTCGCAAAAACGTCGCAAAAATCTCCCATTGAAAATGAATGGGACCAACGAAAAAAACCCAAAAAACTTCACTACTTTTCAAACCTCCACTGCTCAGCCATGCTTTCACCTACAGACTCCATTTAAACTCTAAAATGTTGTTTTTACTTTTTTCATATCTTCAATCGTTTCATCGTGACAACCTCTCAAGTTTTGAAAGTTTTTCACCCCTTTTCAGCCTTTACAATGGGTGTGTATGTGGTCCTTTAGAGTGAGTGATGACATCACTAGAGTGGGAGCTCAGA